GTTTATATGGAGAAATACATTGATAGATTTTTCAATGTGAAACCAACTTTGTATTCCTATTATCCATTTAGAATTTTTGCATCTATATTAATATGGCACATTAGGCTATAGATTTCTTTTCTTATAATATTTTGGTTTAGTTTTCATATGAGTAATAGTGGCCTCGTAGAATGAGTTGGGAAGTATTTTCCTCATTTTCAATTTCTTAGGAAGAGATTGTATAGTATTAGTATTGTTTCTTCCTTAAATGTTTGGTAGAATTTATGAGTGAAGCCATCTGGAACTTGAGTTTTATTTATTGGAACATGTTTAATGACAAATTCAATTTATTTAATCCATATAGGGCTATACAGGTTGTCTATGTCTTTCTGAGTAAACTTTGGCAATTTGTGTAATTCAGGGTCTTTTTTTCCTTTTCATCTCAGCTGTCAATTTTATTGGCATACAATTATTCATAATATTCCATTATCCTTTTAATATTTCTAGAATCTGTATCCTTTTCAAATTTGTAGGATCTACATGTAGAATCATGTAGAAATGATATCACCTATATAATTTCTGACATTGGCAATTTATATCTCCTTCCTTCCTTCCTTCCTCCCTTCCTTCCTCCCTTCCTCCCTTCCTTCCTTCCTTCCTTCCTTCCTTCCTTCCTCCCTCCCTCCCTCCCTCCCTTCCTCCCTTCCTTCTTTCTTCTTTCTTTTTTTTGAGATGGAGTCTTGCTCTGTCACCCAGACTGGAGTGCAATGGTGTGATCTCGGCTCACTGCAAGCTCTGCCTCCTGGGTTCAAGTGATTCTCCTGCCTTAGCCTCCCCAGTAGCTGGGATTACAGGTACACACCACCACACCCAGCTAATTTTTGTATTTTCAGTGGTCATGGGGTTTCAGTATGTTGGCCAGGCTGGTCTCAAACTCCTGATCTCAGATGATCTGCCCACCTTGGCCCTCCAAAGTGCTGGGATTACAGGCATGAGCCACTGCACCTGGCCTCTTTTTGTTGTTGTTGTTGTTGTTTGTTTTTGAGACAGGGTCTCACTCTGTCACCCAGGATGGAGTGCAGTGGCATGATCACGACTCACTGCAACCTTGACCTCCTGGGCTCAAGAGATCCTCCCACCTCTCAGCCTCCTGAGCAGCTGGGACTACAGGCACTTGCCACCATGCCTGGCTAATTTTTTGTATTTTTTGTAGAGATGGGGTTTTGCCATGTTGCCTAGGCTGGTCTGGAACTCCTGGGCTCAAGCAATCTGCCCACCTCGGCCTCCCAAACTGCTGGGCTACAGGCATGAGCCACTATGCCCAGCCTCTTTTTCTTTTTTTTTTTTTTCCTGATAAGATTTTTCAATTATATTGATCTTCCAAAAAGCTGTTTTTTTATTTCATTGATCTTCTCTATTTTTCTTCTGTCTTCTACTTTATTGACTTCTATTGTAGTGGCCAAGGGAAAACTCCCCCTTCATCCTCTGAAAGTTCACTGAAAATCAACTGACAAAAGGCACATTAATTGGAGAAAAGACATACAAATTTATTAACGTGTACACAGTAGTCATACAAATATAAGAACTCAAATGGTCAGATGGTTGGCACTTTTATACCATCTTGAGATTACAAAAAGAATAGGGGCTTAAAGCATGGCAAAACAGGTTATGGTGGCCAGTCAGGTTATAGGAGAGAGAAGAGGAAAGCCCTGGCTAGCAAGGGCAGTCTTGCTAGGCAGATGAAACCTCAGAGATAGCAGCCCTCAGAATGAATAGATGGTAGCCAGTGGGAAATGTTCCCATCAGACCTTTAAAGGTTTCAGACTCTCATTAATATTTCCTAGATCTGGACAAGGGGCCTTCAGAGAAAGCCTGTTTGCATCTGTCATTTGCTTCCTCTACAAATGCAAATCACCTCCCCTGCCCACGAAAGATAGCTCCGCAGGGCTACTTCTGTTTGCAGGCCTTCAGACCAGCCATTTCAAAATATGTTGAAGAAGTCTATTTTGGGGTAAAATATTTTGGTTTATTTCACTAATCTGATCTTTATTATTTCCTTTCTTTTGCTGATTTTGGGTTTTATTGGCTTTTTTCTGTGTTTTGTTTTGTTTTTGAGACAGAGTCTTGCTCTGTTACCCAGGCTGGGGTGCAGTGGCATGGTCTCAGCTCACTGCAACCTCCACCTCCTGGGTTCAAACAATTCTCCTGCCTCAGCCTCCAGAGTAGCTGGGATTACAGGTGCATGCCACCACGCCTGGCTAATTTTTGTATTTTTACTAGAGATGAAGTTTTGCCAAGTTGGCCAGGCTCATCTTGAACTCCTGGCCTCAAGCAATTTACCCATCTTGGCCTCTGAAAGTGCTGGGATTACAGGTGTGAGCCACCATGCCCAGCCTTTTGTTGTTGTTTTGTTTTAAGATGGATGTTGAGACCATTGATTTGAGACCATTGATTTTAAGATTTTTCTTCTTTGCTAATACAGTTTAGTGCTATGGTTTTCCCCTTAAGCACTGTTAAAGTGACAATTCATAAAATGTATTATGTTTTTTCCTTCTTACTCTTTTTTAATTTCAAACCACTCTGTAATTTTCCTTTTGATTTCTTTGATCATAGTTATTTAGTTTCCAAATATTTGGAGATTTTTCAGAGATCTTTCTGTTATTAATTTTTATTTTAATTCCATCATGGTCAGACAACATCCCATAATCTATTTGGGTGGTTCCCTTCCTGGTCTTAGGTGGTTTCCTCACATGCATGTGGTGATCAGTACTTGGCTGAAGTTCAAGGAGGGCCCTCTGCAGATCTCTGGATTGCTGGCCGTGCACAGCAGTTTCTTCTGTGGTACTCTGGCCTGCAAGATTTAGCGGCGTTGTTCTCAGTGGCTTGGCTCTGTCATCTCAACTCAGTCTGCTGGCCTCTGCCTGGATTGCGCCTCCTCCTCCACAGCCTGAAAACTCTTTCAAGGCGGTAATCCAGGGCAATCATAGGGCTCACCTTCCCCACCCCCACACCCCAGCCCTTTTGTATCTCTATTCTTCTTGTCTGATGTCCCAGTGTCTTAAAAAATCTGTCATTTCATATATTCTGTCATCTTTTATGTTCACTTCAAGCAGAAGGATAAATCTAGTCTCACTTTGGCCAGAAAAGAAGTCCCTGAGTGGGCTAGCATCTTAATCCTTCTCTTGAAAATTTCCCTCATGCTTAGGGCCTAATAATCCCAAAATGGCTGCTCTACCACTAAGCATTATATTTACATTTAATGCAGATTTAATGCTAATCATGCTTGTCCATGTCATTATAAATGCAAAATATTTTCCAAAATGTTACCCAACAAACTTACTTATGTAGCTCATTGGCCACAAGGAGGTTACCTGGCCATCCTTATCTGCAAGGAAGTCTGGGAAAACAGGAAACAGTGTTGTCATGATTGGTTTCTGTGTAAGTGTGATTTAACACTGACATATTGCCATCCCAAAAGAACTAGAGAAGGAGGGGGTGGGGGATACAGGATACTGGAGTTCTGTAACCAAGGCAACCAACCGGGTCCTCTTCAGAAAGTAAGACCAGCTTATCTCTCCAGCTGGATCTTTTTGCCCTGGGTACAGTCCACCCAGGTTTTTCTGACAATTGGCTGCTTTCCAACCTTTCTATATTTGATAAGGGTTTCTGTGTCTTGAGGGCTAGCGATAACATTCTAACACCCTTTAGAAATTATTTCTCACCTTCAGGGAGATCTTTGAAGCTCTAAAATATCAGACCAAAATGAAATCACCAATTAAACTACTAATGTTTAAGCCTCTGTATTTCCATTTTCTGTTATTTGCTTTTAACTAAAGTTAAAAGAGCAGGCCGGGCGCAGTGGCTCACGCCTGTAATCCCAGCACTTTGGGAGGCCGAGGCGGGCAGATCATGAGGTCAGGAGATCGAGACCATCCTGGCTAACACAGTGAAACCCTGTCTCTACTAAAAATACAAAAACATTAGCCGGGTGTGGTGGCAGGCACCTGTAGTCCCAGCTACTCAGGAGGCTGAGGCAGGAGAATGGCGTAAACCCGGGAGGTGGAACTTGCAGTGAGCCGAGATTGTGCCACTGCACTCCAGCCTGGGTGACAGAGCAAGACTCCGTCTCAAAAAAAAATAAAATAAAATAAAATAATAATAAAGTTAAAAGAGCAAGTGGACTTGGAATCCAAGTGAATTCTACTCCACTAACTTTAAAGGTCAACTCAGTAGAGCACATCTAAGGGTCCATTGCTTTATTGATTCTGCCTAGTTCACTCAGAGGTGATTGGAGAAAATAAAGATCCAGTTGTTTCTAGCATTCTTCCTAGCAGTTGTGGCCGAGAAGTGTGAAGTTTCATGTAGATTGATGGAGAAGTTCAAAAACTGCAAGCCTAACTTCTAGATGCAAAGAGGCATTTTCTTTGGCCAGGGAAGGATCATTTTGTGCAAATGGTTGAAGTTTAAGTTTGGGTCACTGGCAGAGTCTCTAGGCACTTAGGTGTTAACTTTACAGTAGAGGAAAAAGCAATTATTTTTACGCCAACATTTTAAGTCCTAAGATTAACTTTAGAGGTGTCAGGAAAAGGGGAAAGTAGTTCTTATCTTCACCTAGTAAAGACAAACGACCTGCTTTTTAATTTAGTCATGTAAAAATACATTATGTGAAGACAGTCAAATATTCTCTCTTCCCTGGACTGAGACTAATTCTCCATGAGACTTTATTTGTTTCATGAAACAATTGGATAAATTCTCAGAAGAATGAACTGCTCAGGCAAATGTGGCTTGAGAAACCTTCCTGAGTCTGTACCCAAACCTCTCCTAAGGTTTAGGTGATTAGAAAGTCTAAAGATGGGTTGGCTGTGGAAGAGTATTAGAGGAGAGAGGACTAGCTTGTAAGATAGTGTCTGGCTGGAAGAGAGGTAGGATGAGATCTAAGAAGAATTGACAGGCACTCCATTGGGCATTTCTTATATTAGTAAGAATGGGCTAAGTCATGCTGCAGTAACAAGCCCCAAATCTCAAAGGTTTGACACAATAAAAGTTTATTTCCATCTCATGCAATGTCTTTTGTGGGTCAAGGCAACTCTCTAGGGCAGTTGTCCTCTGTGTGGTACCCGAGTTATCCAGGCTGCTTCAATCTTTTGGGTCTTCCATCTCAGCATACAGTCTTGTCTGTGGTTGCCTATGATGGGGAAGAAAGAGTTGGGAGAATCACACTGTCTCACCTGGAAATAATGTGTGTCATTACACTGGCCACGATAACTAGTTACATGGCCCTATCCAACTGCAAAGAAACTGAGAAGTACAGTCTTCCATATGCCTAGGATAGGAGAAGGAACAGATATTGGTAAATATAGTGATATCGAACATACTACTTTAATTCACAAGTCTTGTCTTAAAGATGAATTTATACCAAGTTGTCCCTGAGTTCAGAATGTCTTTCCAGAAGGGGTTCAGGGGCATCTTGTGGCTAAAAGAGGTGTGAAAGGGACTTATTTTTAGCTTCATTTGCATATCAAGAAATAAGTCTTTCTTTAGATTGAATGTTTATTTCAGTCAGCTTTGGGGGATGCTAATGGAGGCTATGTAGAAGTGAGCAAAATCCTCCAATCCCACCTCCCTCCCCTTCCCTGCCTTGGCACTTACAGCATCAGAGTTTCTTTGTAAGTGCTATAAGTGTGATACAGTGAGCAGTTGCACATTTGGTACCAGCCAAAACCCCAAATGGGCAGGCCACCAATGGGCTACTGGTGGCAGGGAGGCCTGGGAAGCAGTGGCAGGCTCCCTACAACACGGTACCTCAGTCTGTGTTGATATCTTGTTCCAATCGGTTTCCTGTAAACATCAGCAACTTTCACACCTTGCATCACAGTAACGTGTCTTCTGAGAAAAAGCAAGCAGAAAAGCAAAATCAGTCAGATTATTGCTGCAACTCTTGGAGCTTATCTCCTATTATGATTAAGACTGTGCATCTGTGTCTGAACAAGAAAGTGAATAATAAGTATGCATGCAGTTTTATCAGTGGGAATATGCCTGCTAAGCATTTACCTCATTCAATGAGCTGGGAGGAGGGCAGACAGGAAGACATGCAGTCAAATAATTCACATCCCTTTGACACTAGAAGGCTCTGATCAGTCTAGGGAATCAGAAATCATGCTGTATAAGGGTCAGAGATTGTGAGAGTTTTATCATCTAAAACAGTCACATTGGCCTTCAGGTGGCATAGACAGCCATTTTCCAATCTGCCAAATATGATAACCCGATGCAGGCATCGTGCTTTGTGTCATCTCAAGGCTCAGCCTGCGTGGCACGCCAAGCTGTAGTATTTTATGAGTCTGCCTAATCGAAACTAACAGCAAATACATTTGTCTTTAGTGGTCCCGATGGTAGTCCCCAGATGTGCAGAGCATTCCTCCTGCTCTCTGCTGACTCACTTGGGACACCTCTGGTTATGATGCCCAGTCTTGAGAATTCCTCTGTAAATCATCCTGTATTCATTTTATTCTCTTAGCTAATCCTCTGTTACTCTGAAAACTATTGTGTTTAGCAGATAATAATTAACAAGTTTTCTGTCTTATCAATTAATTATTCAAATCAATTCATTATAATCCTTCAAATGTGTCAATCTAGCCATTTATCTATGTTTTCCCCTCTATTCAACAAATATTTTTTAAACAAAATATGTAAAGTATGCTGTTGGTGACATGGAAGATTTGGGGGGAAAGGGAGTGGTCAAACAGAGCTAGTAAAAGTACCTAAGCTTCTGTGCAGGACACCAACAGCAACTACTTCAGGAGGCGACATTTAAGCAGAAATTGGAATGACAAGAAAAAGCTGGTCACATCAAATACAGAGGAAGAGTGAGCTTGGCAAGTCTAGGGCCTAGAAGAAGGTCAATAGGCCTGCACTGTAGGGGGTGAAGCTCTAGAGAGAGTGGTGTCAGAGATCAATCACACAAAACTTTGTCAGCCCAGAAAGGCTTTCAAACGACATTGGTGGTTTTAAATCAGGGCACATGATTGAATTCTGGATTTTTCTGATGTGAGCCCATCTCTGGCCTAAAGTTGCCTTCCATTTATAGTGTGATACTAGTATTAAACAAAAATTATGGGAGGCCATTTTTTAGGCTGAGCTCTAGCACTAGGACCCAACAGACCAGTCCAAACCAAAATGAAGTCACTCATGCTAAATGCCATGTAATCAAACTGAAACTTGAAGGAAATAGATACATCTCCACGGCCCTATTTTTGCTGAAAGCAGGAGAGATTCCAGTCTACCTGAGTTGCATAATAAGCAAGTCCCCTCTGTTTAACCCTTACCAAAAAAGTAACCGGAAGTTGACCAATCACCTTTTTTTCTTGTTCTGTTTTCTTGTCCCCACCATTCTGCCATTGCCCGGGATGGGGGTGGCAGTGGGAATGGGGGACTCTGATTCCATTCATGAATTACAAACAAAAGCCAAATTCAATCTATAACAAAATTTGTTGGAATTTTGTCTGACACTAGTTTTTCCACTTAAGATCATAATATAAAGTGTCCTTTTAAAGTAAATACATTTAAGGAAACAGAGCAAGGCCTTATAAAAATATTAAGTAAATAATACAGAGAGAGCTGAACCGTAAAGGTAGAAACACTGCCCTCAGGCGGAGCAAAATGAATCTTTTGGGGTTCCAAACTGCTTAGGAGATCGTATGCCCAGTGCTTTGCAAGGATTTGAGAAGCCAACAAACTAGAGAAGAAGGCAGATGGTGTTCTGAAAGACCCAAGGTGTCGACATAAAGTTAACACAGAATATTCCTTATGCCCTGGGTCACCTGACTGATGGCCAGGAAGCATCAAGGCTTCCTGTATCTTACACACACACCATTCAGAATGCTGGTTGTCTCTTTCTAACTCTATACTTTAATTTACCTTTTAAGTTGCTCTTGATAATTATTTTAAACAGATTTCCCCAGAACAAAATATTAGGGGATAGGGAGAAGGGGATGCATAGTGTAATTTCTTCTCAGCCTTATACCCTGTTAAGAATGGCCTCAAGATTACAGAAACACAACTCTGACAATTTAATATCCACTGACACACAGAAATACAATGCCAAGAATTACATTTGTTTAAATGCCAAGTTTTCCTTAAGATTTATTTTAAAATCTACATTTCTGAAAATATCTGCACTTCTGAAATCAGATTCAGTCTCACAACATATGTTAAAGAAGAAAAAAAATCTTACCAGGATATACAGAAACCTGATTTTTTAAAATGTGCCTTGAAATTATGATATAAATTTAAAAGAAGTAAGAATCTCAATCTCATTGTTAAAATGAGTCATAGCATTTGGTATTTCTATCATGCATGTGATAGAAAAGTGCTAATAATGCTTTTCTGACTTGACACCAGTCTTACAAGTATACAGGTAAGGACACAGATGTCAATATATTAGTACCAAGGTAGCAAATTATTAAGACAGTTATCTCAGTCTGTTCCTGCTGCTATAACAAAATACCTTAAACTGGGTAATTTATAAACTATAGAAATTTATTTCTCACAGTTCTAGAGGCTGGGAAGTCCAAGATCAAGGCACCAGCAGATTCAGTGTCTGGTAACGGCTTCTCTGTGCTTCACGGGTGCCACCCTGCTGCTGTGTCTTCATATGGCAGAAAGAGAAAAAAGGGTCAAACTCCCCCCAGCCCTTTCATAAGGACACTAATGTCATTCTTGAGTGGAGAGCACCCATGACCTAATTACCTGCCAAAGGCTCCACATTTAATACCATCATTTTGTGGTTAGGTTTCAGTATGTGAATTTTCGAGGGACAGAGACATTCAAACCATAACAACAAACAGTCAGACTTGCAGGTTTCCTTTGGAGATTATTTTTTTACAGGACATGGCAAACCTTTCTAAAGTCTTTAGAGTCTTACAAGATTCCTTTATTCAAATCATGCCTTCAAGGTCCAATTACAATTATACACCTTCATACAAGTCTTCATGTTGCACAGGACAACAAGAATAAGGGTTCTTGCAAGGTTTTACATTCTAATTCCTTATCAATACTGATTCTGTTAACTGATCTATGGCATAGATGATCCTCTCCCACTGAAGCTTCAGGGGAGAGAGACGCCTTCATCTTTTCATGAGCCTCTTTTTGTTCATTATGAGATGTTGCATTTTAAAAGCCACGTCCCAGAATTTCATCAGTTGGCTTTCAAAACAATAGTCAGGCCTGTAGAGCCCAATTGTATTTTCTCCAAAATATTTTATTGTCTCTAAAAACAGGGACAGGGATAAAAAGAATTTTACTGAATACGATTAAATAGAAGTATAGAGCATTAACCATCCATAGTACTGGTAGCACAGGTGCAAAAGACCCCAGAAGCACAAGAACTGGTTAAGCAAATCAGGGAGCTGGTGTTTTGTGGAACAAAAAGTGATTCAAAGGAATCTTTAGACTGAATGTGAATAGATTTAAACTCAAACCTTGTTTATACTACAAAAGAAAAAAAATTTGAATTTGTGTGTTTGTGTGCATATACTATTGACATTTACTAAGACAAAAAGGTTCATTTAATATAGTTTTCTTTTTTCTCAAAAAGTTGTTATGAAACCAATAATGTATCTTCAATTGAAGGAATCTCAGAACTAAAGGAATGTGGCACTTCTGTTGTCAAGGAACTATGTGTTAACATGCTGGTCCTGGCTCTGAAAGTGTGTTGCCAGCTCTCAAGTTAGACAAGGGAAAATAAATCAATATGGCCTGATGAAATGGCAGAACATAGAAATAGTTACCATAAACACTAAATCAACTCATTGACTTTATTAGAATTGTCTCAGGGCAGGGCATTGCCTTTCTGATAAATTTTTATTAAAAGAATATTCTTCAAGTAATATAGTGCACTGTAGAATCTTTGAGTCTAAAAGGGCTGAGGATGATTCTAATTCAGGTGTCCCCTCTATATAAAGCTCCTGAGGATTGTGATAAAATCTACAGAGACACTAGTTCTTTATAAGTTTCTTAATAGAATATGTAGGGCAGGTTGCATTTCAGTTCAGAAAAAAATAACTAAGGTCCAAGGCCTCTAGATAGGTTTTGATTAGGTTGACTGAATCACAAAGATCTAAAATAAAAGCAGTTTAAAGAAGGCAAATATTTATTCACATACTGTTCTGGCAGTTTGGTTCCATGAAGCCCTCAGACACTCAAATTCCTTCCAACCCAGAGTCTCACCATCTTCTGGGTATAGTCCTTTTCCTTATGGCAAAAAAAAGAAAGAAAGAAAGAAAGAAAGAAAGAAAGAGAGAGAGAGAGAGAGAGAGAGAGAGAGAGAGAGAGAGAGAAAGAAAGAAGAAAGAAAGAAAGAAAGAAAGAAAGAAAGAAAGAAAGAAAGAAAGAAAGAAAGAAAGAAAGAAAGAAAGAAATTGGTAGTTAGAGTTCCAGCTGTCATATCTGCATTCCAGGTGGTAGGGTATAAGACAGGCAAAGAAGAAATGAGCAAAGTGCACATTGTAGTAGCTGTTGCTTGAAGAGCCTTCTCAGAAGTTGCCAAAAGATATTTCAAGATACATGTATTGACCGGGATTTAGTCACATGGTTATGCCGAGTTGCAAGGGACCATGCAATACTTTTATTCTGGGGGACTACAGTCCAGCTAAAAGTTGGAACTCTGTTAATATGGAAGAAGAGAAGGATGGATAGTGAAGGGAAAACCGTATTCTCTGCAAACTTCTTAGCTACCTCTATTAAAATCGGTGGTTGTTTGATAATTTTAAAAGTCAGTTAAAGCAGGGAACCACAAAAAAATACATTACATATTAATGATATTTACCTTAAATATTCCTTTTAACTTCTAACAAATCAGACTACATTCATTCATCACTTTCTTTGAGTATGAGGCTGATATTTGTAGTCTTGCATTCTCTAAGTGGACATCATTTTAACTTCCTTAAAGAGAAGGAGGAACTTAGAGAATCTTAAACGTTCTAAGGAGTAAAGTGTTTCTACCATCCCCCAAATCTATAGTTCTACACCTAATTCTATGGAATCTTTTTAATTATTTTGATACGGGTTTTTTGTTGTTGTTGAATTTGTTTTTGTTCTTCTTAAACAATTGACTTAGCTTCCATAAAAATAGCTCCCTTTCACACTCACATTTTTCCCAATTAAGTGATATTTCTAAGGTGGATGTTAAAATGGAACGTTTCCATCATCTCAATTTTTTTTTTTTTTTTTTTTTTTTTTTGAGATAGAGTCTCACTCTGTCATCCAGGCTGGAGTGCAGTGACTCGATCTCGGCTCACTGCAACCGCCACGTCCCGGGTTTAAGCAATTCTCCTGCCCCAGCCCCCCCGAGTAGCTGGGATTACAGGTGCCCACCACCATGCCCAGCTAATTTTTGTATTTTCAGTAGAGATGGGGTTTTGCCATGTTGGCCAGGTTTGTCTCGAACTCTTGACCTCAGGTGATCCTCCTTGGCCTCCCAAAGTGCTGGGATTACAGGCGTGAGTCACGGTGTCCAGCCTCCATTATCTTAATTCTGACTGACACCCACAGACTAAGCACAAAGTTTACTAAGCACCCACACATTCTAAAGAGAGGACCCAGATTATCCTTATAGAACTTGCTAAGGAATATGACCAAAAATTTCCAACATTATTTATCTTGCCACCAATTCCCAGGCCACATAAGAGATAGGGAAGAGCAATGAAAAAGGCTGATAAAAGGAATTTCTTTGAAGTTGGGGTCAGGGAGATCTTTACATGAATTGCCAGAAGAGCATAATGTGGATCCTTAGAGTTGAAGGTCACCAGGACTAGAAGCTGGATTGTACCTGGAAGGGTTTAAAGGTAAGAGGCTTCCTCTGGCTGCAGAGGAGGAGACGGTAGTACAGTAAGAACACCATTGTGCTTCTAGCAACGTTGGGCAAGGATGTGTATTTCCCACAGGCCAGTGTGGACCCTGAAGAGAGCTGGACTTGATCATTTTGAAAGGACTCTGTCCAAGAGATCTGCCTGCCAGGGCAATGTACTCCTCAGAAGTTAGGAGCTCAGGGGATGGCTGATGTGGTGGCTCACACCTGTAATCCCAGCACTTTGGGAGGCCGAAGCCAGTGGATCACATGAGGTCAGGAGCTCGAGACCAGCCTGACCAACATGTTGAAACCTCATCTCTACTAAAAATGCAAAATTAGCGGGGTATGGTGGCACATGCCTGTAATCCCAGCTACTTGGGAGGCTGAGGCAGAAGAATCTCTTGAACTTGGGAGGCGGAGGTTGCAGTGAGCTGAGATCGCATCACTGCACTCCAGCCTGGGCAACAAGAGTGAGACTCTATCTCAAAAAAAAAAAAAAAAAAAAGCGCTGAGGGGAGAGGACAGTTATAACAGCCAACCAGAGGGGCATTTCCTGCATGGAGTAATGGTGAAGGGGAAGATCCATGTAGTGTTAGCGATGGTGGGTGGATTCTGAAGGACCCACAAAAGTGCCCCACGAG